CACTCTTTGACAGGATAACTGGCCTCATTGCTTTGGGGTCGGTATGAGATGTGATGTATCTTGACTTTGGGAAGGCTTCTGGCACTGTCCCAGAAGACGTTCTCATAAGCAAGCTGAGGAAATGCAACCTAGACTCACAATACATTGAGCTCAGTGTCAAAGTCAGAGAGCTTTCTGGGCAAGTCTTTTGAGTGTCTGTCCAGGGTCCAGGTCTATTCAGTATTTTCATCAGCAGCTTTAGGAATCTGCTTTGCTATACAATGTCCTGGTGGCATCCAACTGCGTGGGGCAGTGAGCACTTAGGAAGGGTAGAACCAGAAAGCTTGATAAATTGGAGAAACCATCCAAGTCAGCAGGATGAGTTCCAGCAAAGGAGTATGCAATGACCTGCCATGGGAATACTGAGGAGAACGTACAAACAAAATGTAATCCAGTAGCAAATACTGCTTAGAAGCTGAGAGAGGAAAAAGGAGAGAACCTGAAGGTCTTTCTAACATCCAGCATACTCCTATGAGTGATGGTAATCAGTGGTTTTCCGTGCCACTGTGAATAAAACAAGAAGGAAAAAGTCATCAGGGCAAAAGAAAACCATTTAGTTTTGCTGTTATTTCCTATGCAAAATGCTACTGAAGGAAAGGAGGTTATACAACCTCTTTTGCTACATTTTTAAAAGCTTATTGAACAACCATGGGAGTAGTCTCTACAGCATGCTCTACTGAGGTGTCCTTGAGAGAAGGCCCCTTTTCAGCTTTAATGTTGAGTTTCTTGCCTACATCTTTTCTGTGCACCCAAGTTGTATGCATGTCGTTTTCAGAAAACACGACCAGTGTTCCTGTAATGAAGCCTATTTCCTGAGACACCAGAGAGGTCATCCCAAGAATTTATTTATAACTTCACAATTATATTATATGAATTATAAATTCACACTCTAAAAGAATACAATCTTGCTTAAAGGGTTTAGTTCTTTAATTTACCTAAATGTCAGACTAAATTTAACTTTCTAGACCTATGTTATTTTTTTATTGCATTGTTTAAATTGGGCCAATCTCTGAGTATACCCTCAGCAATGATGAGGTGGGTAGGTAATGATTTTTCCTTTAGCTACAACACTCAGCTCACCATGTAAGTGGCATTAACAATGGCACTGTGAGACATCGGTGCATCCTTAGTTATAGGTGATGAGCTCATCAGCATCATGTCATACCTGCTGGTTCCGTGTCTAAGCTCAAGCCATCATTTCTTGGAGGCACATCTTGGTTTTCCTGAGGAAAACTAACCCAATCCAGCCACCACTTGAGGCAAAGCATGGCCTCCCAGGGAAGGGGAGGCAGAGGGGTGTGTGTTTTGGGTAAAACTCCTCAGGGCGTTAATATCGGTGAGTCATTTACTCATGGTTTTAATTATCTAGACATTATATTGTAAATAGCTCACTTAAGTACCGAGAGGACGTTCGTCCTCACCCCCCTGTGGAGGCAAGTCACAAATAACACTATTAACAAGCAGGCTGCCTCTGGCACACACACACACGTTATGACAACAGTCATTAAAAACATTTTTTTCCATACAATATTCCAGAGGTTATTCTTGGTGACAGTGCTTTTCAGCTTGTGGCCAGGGCTCAGCAACTGCTGCTCCCTTTCATGTGAGCTTGTTCATACACCAAGGTCATGGCCATGACAATTCCCCAGCTGAATAAACCCAGAAATATTGCCATGCCCAACCCCAAAGCAATATCAGGTGAATGATACGAGGATTACCTGTAGCTGTGCAACACCACACGTTCAAAAAGTGACTGAGGATGGTCTGTCCAGGGAGGTGGTAGAGTCAGTGTCCTTGGGGGCGTTCAAGAAATGTGTACATGTAGCACTGAGGGACATGGTTAGTGGCCATGGTGGGGATGGGCCAACGGTTGGACTTGATGACTTCAGTGGGTTTTTTTAACCTTTATTATTCTATATCTCACCACCTAGAGGTACTACAGCAGCCTTGCAAATGCCTTCCCAGAGCAAAGTGCTCTGCTGGGGAAGGCATGTGAGTTGGCGTCATCCTACCACAGCAATGGGCCAAGGCGACTGAAGCCCATGGTGGTGGCACATGCAGATTGATGGTGGCTTCTCCTTGCAGATGATGCTGTGGGTTGAGGCATTGTTGCTGCTTTAAGATGGAGAGTGGAGAAGTCCTCTGGTACCAGGGACAAGTGGCTTATAAATGAGCCCAGCAGCCACAGCTGTGAGATCAGAGAAAACGTAAATCACAGAATATTTTTGTCTTTAATTTGTGCTTGTCCAGAAAAGTTCTGATGACACTAACACAGCAGTAACTACCAAAAAGGTAAGAAACTCTGAGCTAAGAGCTGCAAATGCTCTCCTCCCTGGTTTAAAAACTTTGCTCAACAGCTTTAATAGCCACTCAGTTCTTAACTGTGTACTGCAGCTGATTCCCAATGCCTGCAGTCTCCTCCCATTCAGCCCAACTTTCCCTTGGGTAGCATCCTTAGGTTCCGGACCTAATCCTCTGAGTGCTGGCCTGCCTCTGTGCAGTGGTGACAGTGAGCCAGGCAGGCTGGGGGTTCCAGCACCCTGCACCCCAAACCCAGTCACTAACACTAAAGGCAATGGCTTTGCCTTTTTTGCAGAAGCAAGGAAAACAGAGCAGCAAAAGTTCTCCTCTGCAAAGCTTCAAAGGTAAAGCTGCTGCTGGATCCTCCCAGCAAAACCTGATGCTGGCAGAGAGTGAAAGAGGCAGGGTGAGCGATGGTGTCCACACACCTGCCCAGATGCAAGCACACAAACCAAAAATAAAACATAAAAGCCTCAGCAAAAACAAATCCCCAAGGCACCACATTTACTTTTTTTTTTCTTTTTTTCTTTTTTTTTTTTAGCTTGCATATTTTTTAATGAAGTAAAAAAGGAAAAATAAAATAAACACTCCACTGAAGTTGTCAGCTTGGCACAGGTCTCCGCAGTGCATCGAGGGCACCAAAGTCACCATGCAATTGGCAGTCACAGATGCTCATCCCCCCTGCACCCCCTCCCACAGAGTGAGCCTAAGAAAGCTGCAGATGAAAAGCACATGACCGATACAGCACAAGCAACAGAATAACAGCACTGCATAACAGTGAGCTCCCCACGCCTGAGTTTTAGCTAGGAATGGGGGAACTGATGTGGTTAAAATAACAACAGACTTGACATGTCCAAATTAAAAACTGCAATGATAACATAATCCCGTTGCACCTTAAACACCCCTACACACACATCCAGAGATCATTTGTCGGGACTTCTTTCATTTTTCCTCACCAGTCACACATCTGTGCTATGGGGTCCCAGCCTGGATGGCAGCAGAAGTGGTGCCCAATGCCGGCAGGAGCTGCTCGGTGGGTGGTGGCATGGCCAGATATCAGAGAGAGCAACTCACTTGGCAGGATCCCCCTCTTTCTTGTGCCCTCCCCCAAAAGCCACCACAGAGGGAGGAGAAGAGGCAGTAGACTGTCTTCCCTTTAGCCTCCATGAAGGGCACTTCACCTGCAAAGCTCCTGCAAGATGGATCCTTCTTTGCCTCATGCTTACACACATTTATACAGCGAGATATTCAATAAACCTTTTGTACGAAAATAAATATTTCCTCTGTGTTTTAAGGACCAATGTCCCACTCATCTTTTTACCTGCTATAATGATACGCGTGTTCCATCCATGACAGCCTAATTCCTGCTGCTTTGCCCTCACCTGCAGCCACCATCTCCAAGGGCAGCAGGAAGCACTCCAGTATGCTGACAGCCCCTCAGTCTGTGCTGTGCTGACTGCCTGGGTTTGGCTGATGCTAGCAAAGTCACGGATTTTTCTGTACAGCACCTGTTTCTTGATAGAAGAAATTATCTTCCTCTTGGAAACACTTTTTAAAAAGCAAGGTTTTTAACAACGTCTTCCAGGTCTCTCAGTTAAGAAACGTGTTTATAGATAGAACTGTTTATATAGATATAGGTATAAGTTTTATTTAATTTTATTACCAACCCAACATTTTGATTTGCAGCCGTTGATGTAATTCATACTCTTGCTTTTGTTTTTTTTTTCCTGAAAAAGAAAAGCACTTGAGATGAAAAGGGTGTGCCTGTCTGCCTGTCTGCTCTCCAGGGGTGTGCTGGGGTTGCACAGGACTGCGGGTACCCAGCAGTTTGAAGCCTGGTCCTTTCCATGGAGCGTGAGGGGGGTGATGGGTGGGACAAGGACCCCATTCCTGTTCACCAACCTGCGTGTTTAGACCTAACCTCAACCTGAAAGGCCAGCGCTGAGAGAGCTGTGGGAGACACACGGAGGCTTCCTGCTCACTTCGGTACAACAGAGCAGCGTGTTACTGGGATTCACTCCCACATCCACTGAGGCCTACAGGACAGGGCTGTGCCAGGCCCCCATCTTGAGCAGCCTATGCAATCTCACGGACCCCTCAGCCGGCTGTGACTGTACCGCTGTTCATTTCACTACCTCTCGCCCATTAACATCATTTTCTCTTCCTGCAGTACCACAAGCTCAAAGTTAATTACACAAAGAGAAATGCCATAGTCAAAATATACATTATACATATTATATTAGAAGGTTGGTTGTTTTGGTTTTTTTTTTTTCCTCCTTTTTTTTTTTTTCTTAGCCCAGGCAGGTGATTGAGATGCTACATGCTTCAGCCTTCATCACTGAACTGGTGTGCTGTGTGTATGTATGTGTGTGTCTGTATTAAAAATATATCAGTCCTGTGATGCTCTTAAAAAAGAAAGAAATGGATGGAGGCGGGGGAGGAAACTTGTGAGATTGAAAAAGTTCTTTGACAGTGTCAGAGTCTGTTGTGGCTTCAAAAAGTACACCTTCGATTCCAGCACTGACGGCAGCTTGAAGCTTTAGATTTTAAACTTCTAACATTTTTCTGTCTAAGTAGTAAAAATAAAATAATAAAAAAATAAAAATAAAAAAAATCAAGCCATGTGCACTCCCCCCCAAACTATAAAGCAATAGGCAAAAAAAAACCAAAAAAACAAAAAAACCAAAAAATTTCCTATCAGACTTCTGCAATTCCTAAAGAGTAAAAACAAGAAAGCATCTCCTTACAGCGGAGGGGTGCTCTGGAGAAGAGGAAACGAACCTGTGGGAGAGGTGGCCTTGGGAGATGGCTGAGACTTCTTAGTCACATCGATTGGAGTCAGTGGCTGGGTTTACTTCATTTTGTCCCTTTAAATGCTTGCCATTGTTGCTTTCTTTTCTTTTGCATCATTTTTTGGGGTGGTTTTCGTGGATTTCTTTATCGTCCCGTGATGGATCTGCCCATCCTGGCACCTGTCAGGGCGGCGAGCTGACAGCTGTCCATCCTGGTGAAACCACTCATCCAGGGCCGGTGTCCGGTGAGGTAATGGAGGAGGGGGTCCCTCCCTCGGCGGCACCATCTCTCTGCCGCCTAAAACCCCTTGATGTAGCAATAGGCTTCCAGGGTGGCAAAAAGGATGTACAGCAGCCACAGGCTGACAAAGAGCAACGTCGTGGCCAGTTTGCAACCCCGGGGACCGCCCAGCTCTCCCCCGAGGTGGGGCCGCCGGCGGTAGAGGAGAACGCTGATGCAGATGAAGGCGAAGATGGTGAAGAGGGTGACAGAGAAGGCCAGGGTACCGGCTGACACCTGGAACTCCTGCCCCTGTGACGCCCAGTAGATCGCTGCCACCGACCATGCCAGCCCAATGCCCAGGAAGACGTTGACGGCGTTGCTGCCTGTGACATTGCTGATTGAGGCATCGGCGTACACGTCCTGGATGGCTGCAGCTTTGCTGGCAAATGTATCTGCGGGGGAAGGAGGGATCATCAGGGTCCAGCAGGAGAAACGGGCAACCCTTCATGCTGGGGGATGAGGGAGGCTCAGGTGTGCTACCAGACAGCTGGGACATGGACCCCAATCTCCTCTGGACCCCCCATCCGCTCCCCATAGCCTCCCCACCTGGTACGGAGGTGCCGAAGGCTACAAACACAACGGCGGTCACCGAGTCCTTGAGGCCGATGGTGCAGCCGAAGTGGGAGGCGAGGTCACCGATGACAGCTGTGAGCATGCCAATGATGAGGATGGAGACAACGAAGCAGGCCCAGCCATTGCAGTACTCGGTGGGGGGCACGCAGGCAAACAGCACCTTCCAGAAGACAGTCAGGAAGTGCATCACGTAGTCGAAGCAGGATGGCAGGCGCTCTTCACCAGACTCATCCTCATCTTCGTCACCTGCTGCAAACATGGAATAAGAGGTCCAGCTCATACAATTGAGCATCCTCAAGGCCACCCACCTTCTGCTGCACTTCTCCAGCCCGGCCACTGGGTACAAGACTGGGGGGCTGCCTCCCTCCCCACACAAAGCAGCATGGAGGCGTACCGCATTGGTGCCAGCCACCACTATGGGAATGAGCTGGTGAGACTTAGCAGCTGCCGGAGCCCTCAGTGGCAGTGGTGGGGCTCAGCAAGATGGAAGGACTCCTAGGACACCTCAGGAGCACACATCCACCCTATGTGGCTGTGAGACATTGAGCAACACTTTCAGGGGCTGTCCTGTTCTCATCCCCAGCCACAGACCATCATAGAGTACCTAGTTACCCTGTGGAAATCACTGCTGAGAGACACCATGAAATCACACAGCAGAAAGTTATAGAAATGAGTGCCACTGAGGGAAACTAGAGGGCTCTCTTGGTCCACCTGCTCCAAATCATGGGCTGATGGACCCTTCCCAGCAAGAAGTGTCACACCTGTGTGAGGGTATAAGTGACCTCTTGGAGGGGAAAGATTAACTCAGAGATTGGAAGAATCTGCCTCATAAGCCCAGACACATCTCATCCCTGTCTGCACATGCCCAGGGGATGCTGGTATGGGGTTGCTGATCTCCCTCTCACCTGCACTGACGGTGATGGCCTCCAAAAACTGGTCCCTCCAGGAATGTGTCCCTACAACCAAAGCTAGGTTTGTCTTCTTAATGAGCTTGTCCACAGTGCTCTGTTGTGGGAATAAAGATGCACAGCAGTTAGACCCTTTGCTAGCAGGCAAAGCTGACCTTCCCTTCTGCCCCTTGTCAAACTGTGGTGGTGCCACAGAAATGCTCCTATCAGAAGCTCCATGCTGAACCCACTGGTAACTCCCAGCCCAGTACATCATGAGCTGTACTTCACCAGAGTTTGCTTTTTTGGTACTCCTTTCTACAAAGCTCAGCTCCTTTCTGTCAATCCTGCCTTGCACAGTTTGCTTTTCTGGCATGGTGGCATCTGCTTCTAACAGGACTCCCCTGTCTTTCTCTCTTAACCTCTGCCTACTAGCAGCTACATCTCCTGGCATTTATTCAGTCTTTCCCTACCCTCTATTGTATCACACACTCTTTTTCCTCCCCCTGTAAACGCAGCCATACCTGGCCTCCTCAACCCTGCTTTCCATGGCAGCTCTTCACTGCCACACAGCTTCCCCCACCTGGAGGACTCCTGGGACAACCACTGACCTTGAACTCATATGACTCCTCAATGATGACTTCTAGTTTGGGGTGTTCGCCAAGTATTGGTTTGCCCATCTCTGCAATCCTCTTGGCTTCCTCTTCTTCAACTGTCAGCTTCCTTTCAGCCCCTTCTGCAAAAGCAAGACCAACACTGAGCTGCAGGCAGCAGCTCCCTTGCAGCTCCCTGCAGTAACACAGAGACCTGGGGCAGGGGTGGAGTGCTGGGCCATGGGAACAAAGGACCAAGATTTTTGCCTATCAATCACTGAGAGCATATAAAGCATGGCTGTCTCTAAAAAGAAAAAAATTCTTCAGCCTGCATTGGTGCTCTTGGATGATAAATGCTCAGTTGTGGGAGCTCAGCAGAATCTGGGGAGGTACCACAAAGGAACAGCATCCCATTCTGGCCAAGTAGTGGGTCAGGTATTACCAAGGCTTCCTGTTGAGTTTACAGACACCCCAGGTAATGCCTCAGATGTGACCAATCCCACGTGGACTCCAGCAGATCTCTTACTCCTCACCAAAACTGCACAGAAGTGATAAACTCCCAGTGGAATCCAATTGTAAACTCTGCCTTCCCTTTGTCAGCCCTGCTAGACTGACTGCAGAGACTGTAAGCCTTGTGAGACTGCAGGGTTTATAAGATGTACGAGAACTCCTACGTCAAGTGGTATTCCTATAGCCCATCACAGAAGCACAAACAACCACATCCATCACTCGAAATCAATGAAGTACATCAAAACCATCACTGCCTAACTCCAACACATGTCCTGTGGATTTGGAATCCCCAGAAGTTTACAAGTACTGACAGAAACAGAAGAGCAGAGCAGCTGGAGCTACTCAGGGTGGTGGAAGGATAGAGGATGATGGCAGGCAAAGGCCAAGTGGCTCCAGAGGGGATACTTTGAGAAACCTTATGTTGTATGCTACATTTGGAGGCAAGATTCAAGCTACTTACATTCACACGAACAAGAAGTTTGTGCAGCCTTAATCTCTTTCTCCAAGACAGAGACCTAGAAAATCTAGTCTCTGCCTCTATCCAGAAGTGTATGAGGATGACAAGCTGTATCTAACATCAAAGATTCGGGTGCTTACACATCAGTTGTTGTTCCAAGTGTGGCTCACCCCCCCACAATTAAAAGCTCACAGGAGGAAGCACCCACAGCTCTTCAGGGGCCCAGCATAGCAGATGGTGCTGGTGTGTACCCACAGCAGGGAGCTGAGGATGAAGCACAACAGCTAGCCATCCCAGCAGGGCTGCACAACCCAGATTTGCTGCAATCTGGCTCACTATGACCTTCCCTGGAAAGTAATACCATCAGAGCAGACATGGGCTGCAGCTAGCAGCACCAGGCTCTTGCCTACCAGCTCCTGTCATGCAGCAGAGAAAGAAAGCGTCTTCCCAGAAGGCTGGGAATCTTGGATTAAATTTCCCTAGCTTAACAACGACAGGAGAAGTGCTAAAAAAAAATCAACAAAAAAAAACCAACACACAAACATCTCAGTCCCTGTTTTAACTGATTTGACAAAAGCTTCTGATATGGCAAGACAACAGAGTCTCATGCAAATCTTAGCCATCTTCAGACAGGTCTCTAAATGCACGCACCACAGAACATGCTCTCCTCCCTGTGGGAAGCAGCATCCAACACAGACTTATCTCAACCCCTGCCTCCTTGCTCATGCTGTTTGATGTGCCTATGCCAGGCAGGGCAGTGCGAGAGCTGCAGCAGCACTCTGAGGAGCGGGCGAAACCAGGGCTACACAGAACGCTGTGCCCAGGACCTCTGACTGCTGGCAGGTGTCTGTGGAATGTGCAGTACTGTGAAGTGTCAGCAGAAGTGGCACCTTCATGACCGAGGCCTTGCCAGGTGATGGCCAGAGCTGGAGAGCTGCAGTCTGCTGACAGCATGTCCCAAGACCTGAGTAAGGGAGGTCCAGCTGCCCCCACACAGCTCCTCTGTAGTGAATACAGTGGACTGTAGCACTGAGGAAGAAATGTGGTCACCCAAGAAGCCATGTCAAGGGTGTCCACTGCAGGCAGGTTGTTGAATACCACTCCCGTGCTAAAACCCTCAGATATGAGCTGCAAATAGGTGTCAACTGACATGTAGCATGCCTGATAGGGTATCTCACAGAAACATTCACAGAGGAAGCTTACTTCAGCTGCAAAAGGAGATGATTCCTGCACGACTCGTGTATCATAGAATCATCAAGGTTGGAAAAGACCTTCAAGATCATCCAGTCCAACCGTCTCCCTATCACCAATATTTCCCACTAAACTACATCCCTCAGCACAACATCTGAACAATTCTTGAACATCTCCAGGGTTGGTGACTCCACCATCTCCCTGGGCAGCCCATTCCAGCGCCTGACCACTCTTTTGGAGAAAAAATATTTCCTAACATCCAACTGAATGGCACAACTTGAGGCCATTCCCTTTGGTTCTATCACTACACAAGAGAAGAGGCTGACCCCTAACCCTCTACAGCCTCCCTTCAGTTCACTGTGGAGTGCGATAAAGTTTCCCCTGAGCCTCCTCTTCTCCAGACTGAACATTCACAGCTCCTTCAGCTGCTCCTCATAAGGTCTATGCTCCAGACCCCTCGCCAGCTTTGCTGCCCTTCTCTGGACATGCCCCAGGGCTGCAAAAAGCAGAAATACATCTGGAATATTTCCAAATATGCAACAGGAAAGAGAACCTGTTACGCAAAGTACAGAAACCTAACAAATTTCAGAGGTGAATTTGAAATTGTTAAACCTAAGTCTTTCATCCTAACTTAAGACACAAACCGAACTGAGCTTGCCGATTCCGTTTGTTCAAACTGGATGCTGAGTGGAGCCCCATAAGCAGAGGCCCAGCAGCTGAGCTGGATGAGAGAGACAGACTTTTTTAATTTGGAAGGTCAAACCTGACAAGGTGAACACTGCCAAACTGCAGCTTAATTATTAACTAGCCTGATTTCTGTTTGTATCAGCATCTGCACCTACTCCTCAATGCGGATTGCACCCTGGACTCCCAGCTGTCAACCCCAATTAAGCTTGATAAGGTCTGGATATGCCTGGCAAGAACAGGAGCTCACCAGGGCCTCCAGGACAGCTGTCACCTCCTCCCCAGGAAGAGGAAGGTGGGGACAGAGCCGTCCCCAAAACCCTGTTTGCACTGGGATGTAGGTCTGTGACCACCAAGGGATAACAGCCCATCTGGGCTACAGGAGGTGTGCAGACTGCTCAGGCTACACAAGCTGAGTCTTATGCACCAGGTACTCATCATCAGCTCCTCACGCCAGGTTGCTCGTGGGCTGTTACAGGCAAGGGAGACCTGCCAGTCTGCAAGAGCAAAGGCTGGGTGGCAGCTCCTTCTGTTTTTTTCCCCTAGGAAAGGGGAAAGCAGAGCAGCATTCCCACAGCATGCACTGCACCTGAATGCTCGCTTGCTCAAATCCCTTCAGAGCACTGGGAACAAGTGGGAATTGGACATTGTCTGGGTACATTGTAAATCAGTTAGATAAAGTCCACTGCCAGCTTTGCGCTGAAACAAGCAATGACAAGGCCCAGCAACACTGCTGGAGAGGTAGATGCCTATCACCTAGGAAATGCTGCAAGACTACCAAACAACCACGGGCCAGTCTCCATTCCCTGTCACTTTCTGAATAAATTGGATTAAAACTAGCAATGCATTCATGAAAGACTGCTACGAAGGCCATTTCACACCCCTCCAGCTATCTCATATCCATCCATTTCTAGAGTGGGCACAGATCTGCATGAAGGTCACCCCTTCTGGGGACTGTGCTGCTAGGAAGAAATTAAAGCGACAATTAAAGTGGGATTTTTGTTGCGGCTCAATAAAATATAATCCTAGCTACACAAAATAAACACAGCGTGTGAATGAGCTCTTCTCTCCAGAGGACTGTCAATCTATCAGTCACAACCTGGGAAGGCTGCTGGCTAAGAGATGCACTGGCAGTGGAGGCTGGCATATTGATATGCCCTTTAAAGAAACACATGCACACACACATGCACGCACAGCCTGTGCCACTGTCTAAAATGGGAGGAATCTGCTTACTTAGCTCTGAAAGCTATTTTTGAGGCGTGATGCATCCAACATACACGCTCCAGTGTCCTTAGTGCTAACTAGGAAACTGTGCATCCATAAGAAGAGTGCTAACACAGCCAACGCACAGATTTTATAGTTGGACTTAATACTCCTTACGGGGACCCAAGGATCCAACTTGGGCTATTCTATGATTCTATGAGTTCCCTGCTGCCCTGCTCTCAGGCCCTTGCTGGTGGCCCTGCTCCTCAGCCTTCCCACCACAAAGCGGGCAGCAGCCATGCAGCACACATGCAGAAAGCGGGCCCATGAATTTCAATGCACAAAGAAACATTTTTAGAACTACTATTTCTTTGATCTGGATGAATATGTGGAAGTGAGGGTAGATAAGTAGCTAAAGTTTGGTAATTCCTCATACAGCTAAGAATCCAAACATCCTAAGCCCAAGAAAAGCTCAGAAGTCTGCCTGGAAGTTTGGTGAACGCAAATAGCACAGCAGAACCTGAGCCAAAGGCTTTCCCGACCCAGCAGTGCTGCCTCGTGTGAAACTCACAGCCCTGTTTTCCCAGGAATAGGTCTGCAGGGGTTGGCACACTCAGGCTCTCCAATATTCTCCAAAGACCACCTGGACACAAAACGTGTTCGCGCTTGGGCTCATCTCCCCATCTGTGTTGCATGCAGGTTCTTCTTCATGCATGCAGGGAACTTCTGCAAAAAGATGGCAAGCAGGGGCTGTGCCATGCAAGGGAAGGGGAACATGGGAGATGGTCTGTGAGGGAGAGGACTGGAAGACTCCCCCAGAACTCTCAACAAAGCTGTTTTTACAAAGATTCCTGCACTTCTGTGTAACCTAAATCTAACATGACATGGACTAAATGAGAACATCACTTCTCTCCTTATTAGCCATGATGGCTGCTGAGTGACATTCCAGCAATATACTCCAGGAGCGAGTGTTGCCAGACCAGAACACGGCCAAGTACTCACTGTGTGCCCCAGGGGCATGGGGCATCCCAGCACAGGGGACAGCAGGAGGCTGTGCCCCACAAACCTCACCATTAGCTGGAGATCAGCTTCTTAGAGCTGGTGACCACAGTATCCACTAACAGCTGCCAAAAGCAATCAAGCTGGATTGCAACAGAGGGAGAAAGTTATATTATTTTAACACAGATTATTTGGTTCCCGAGTTTCTGATCAAATTAGGCAGCTACTGAATTAAAGCAATGAAATTACTGGGAAGGAGGCTGTGCTCAACTTATTCCTAGTCATCCTGGAGTTGAAAGAGTAACAAAGGAAGCCATCCAAACTACTCAGAGGAGTTTTCCATGAACACCCCAAGCTGATACCTGGGGAGCTGGGGATTTCTGCCTGCCACTAGCAATTTCCTAATTAGCCCCATCTCCTGTAGGCTCAGGCCATCCCTGCACAGCACATTTGGCATCCTCCTGAAAACTGTAGAGACAGAAGCTTTCATGGCAGAGATACTGTCAGTTTGCAGCATAGCTTGGGTGTTACGAATAAATGCAATCAGCGCTTTGATTTCACCTGCAACAAAGCCTACTAAAACCCACGGTCCATGGTGAGCCAAAGGAGCACAGAGCTCTTCTTGGGGGTTCTGAAGCCTGCAAACAGCCCCCACATTACTGCAGCCACTGCAGGACTCGCAGCTTCTACTGCTACACACAAGGCTGTTGGTTTTCAACTTGGCATGCCGAGCTGCCAGCTTTTCCCTTCACCCTGCTCACCTGGCTTTGAGCTTTTGATAAATGTTTCTTTAGTGCAAATTGAACTGTAATCATACCTGGGATTGAAGGACTGAGAAAATACAGGAGACATAAATCACCACTATGTGTGATTGAGATAGACCAGCATAATGGGGATTTCAGGCAATGAAATTACTAATAAAGGTAAATGCTGCTATGGGGAGGTGAGGAGCAAGAGCCCATCACATCTCAGCTGTGCTGCTGGCACTGAGTGGCCCCCGGCATAGCAGTGGGGACCTCTCATGTGCCTGCTCTGGCCAAGGGGTTCTATGATTGCAGGAAAACCCGATGCATGAGGAGCAAAACCTCCGGAGCTGCCTCAGGAAGAAGAGTTGGGGTCAAAGCTGCAGGCCCTGGCTGGGCCATTTGCTGAAACTGCAGGGAAATTTCTGGAATGGGGAGGAAGGCTCTCAGGCATCAGTCATTTTATGGTCTTAATGCACAATTCTGACCCAGCCCCTGCTGGACGGGAGCACTTGGAGCTGGGGTGGTACCTCGCTCCTGCACGCAGCAAATACAGACAGAGAGGGCTGACTAAAGAGGACAAAAACAGGCAGAGCAGGATGAGGAAAGGAGAAGAAGCAGTCTTACCTTGGGTGAGCAGCAGAGCTGTGGGGAGAGAAGAACAACAAGAGACAGACAGAGAGAAAGAAGAAAACAGGGAGAAAGTTAATGTCGCACTGGGAAAAGCAGGAGAAGCTGTTTAGCAGAAGACAACGTTCAGTGAGCAATGGCCATGGCCCAATGCGATGTGTGAGCTGCTTAGGGCTACATGCCAGGCAGAGGCTAGGGACATGGCAGCAACATGGAAGTGATGCTGGTGAGCACCGCATCAGGGCTCCCAAAAATCACCCCCCAAGCAAAGGCAGAGGAATGGGATGCAGGTGGGGAAGGGAAGGGAAAGGAGCAGGGGACAGCCACGCTTGCCATCAGGGCCTGGCATGACCCAAGCTGCAGCTCAGCGAGAGCCTCGCCAGGGGAGGTCTGGATACAATGGGGGTCCCCCTAGAAAGCCACAGTCTAGGCCCAGCTTTCAGAGTAACCATAGTGAAGCCTGTAAGAGAGATCACACAGCAAAATATACCAAATCCTCTCCAAAAGTAGTGAGCACTGTGCCTTAGCTATGACTTTTGCTTGTCCTTCAAGCAGCAAGCTGTCTCCAGAGACTCGGTTGCATGCTATGACGGTACTGTAATTACTAACACTTATTATCACGCACTTTGAGTCTCAGAAGCTTAAAACTCTGTACAAAGACTGAGTCAGTATTAACATCCCCATTTGACAGATGGTGAAACCAGCAAAGAGAGGCTAAAGGGAACATTTTGCGAACTCAGAAATGGGCAGGAGTCCAAAAGTGCTAATTTACCCAGGCTTGCCAGCTCAGGCCTCAGAGAAGCAGGCACCTTTGCACAGAGGTACCTAATTTTATCTATGCTTGTTTGAAAGTGATTTCCTAAGCAATTTATCTAAGGTTTCATAGCCAGGGGAGCGTTGCTGCGTCCTGGCTCACCTGCGTGCCATCAGAAACCCTGCCTCAAAGGCTGCAAAGAGGCACTGACCATACAACACCAGTCCCACTGCTCGGCACCATCAATGGCCCTGGTCATCGCCCCTGAGACTTCGTAGCTCTGTCCTAGCTCCATACTATGGCCTCCTTCCTCTTCCACGGTCTACTGGTCCTTCAGACAATGGGAGGAAATTTAATTTTCCTTTTGCAATTACAAGTATTAGTACAGTGGGTCGGCTCACTGTTCAAATTTAATATAATGAAGTATTACTGGGCCCCTGAGCTACCATGCTTATTAAAAAAATAATAATAAAAATCATTGGTTCCTCATGCTTTTTAAAAATGTTATCCTAGCACTCTGGGATTTGAGTTTATTTTTTTCCCATTTGCTTTTGAGCCTGCAAGAGAAGTATTTTTCTCCCTTTCACTTATGATATGATACATGAATATTTGAAGAAGCCTATAAAGCTATGAATGAAACATTAAGAATACAGCAAGCAGAAAGCCAAAGGATTATTTTATCTGTATATTTCTGAGTGAACGTTGTGCATGCAAGCAAGAAAATGATTTCACAGACTAAAGCTTCCTTCCCGCACATGCATCAGCTAATGTGCCCTCAGTCCTGACCTGTACAGCTTACTGACAGTCTGTCTGTGGATGCTGTACCTATACCAGCTTCCCGCAACCACTGTGCTGCTCCTGCAGGCCTCTCCCCGCACCTCTTCTCCTCCACCCCTGCTCTTCTGTCCCACCCCAAGCCCAAGCCAGATCATCTCAGCACTGCTGTCGGCATATCAGGTAGCCTCAGAGGCCTGGCAAGCGTCTCCTTACAGGCAGCTGCTAAAATTAGCTCAGCAGCCAAATCCAGATGAGTAGTCTTGAAAATCCCTTGCCTAAACCATGCACAGCAGGTGTGCAGACAAATACCTGCGCCTGCAGACAAGGCCATGGGCACTAATACTGCCTTCCCCTGGACTCTCAGGAGACTCAAAGCCTTGATTTCCACAGGGAAAGAGTATAGCGGCACATACCGAAAGGAACAAGCACAGGGAGTGCTGCACAAATAAAACCACACAAGCTCAGATGTTTTCTGAACAATAAAATACCTTCTTCTGCTCTTTCTACGTCACAGAAAGGGTTCACCACATTGCATGCTTTATTCTGGCCTTATTGGTCATTTACATAAATCTTCTCTAATCAATGTACCTAACAATTCCAAAAAGCTGCTACATAGCTAAAAGGATCCACATAGGTGGTTAAATGCATGTTGCTTGCAGAGCAAATGGAAATGAGGTAGGCTGAGGATTTGGAGGGGAGCCCCATCTACAGCACAAGAGAAAAGGTGAATACAAACCATCATGGAATCATTTGAGTTAGAAGGGACCCTTAAAGGCCATTTAGTCCAACTCCCCTACAATGAACAGGGACACCCACAGCTAGGTCACGGTGCTCAGGGCCCCATCCAGCCTGACCTTGAGCATCTCCCAGGATGGGGCATCCACCGCGTCTCTGGGCAATCTGTGCCTGTGCCTCACCACCCTTAGTGTAAACAGCTCTGCAAACTTGCTGAGGATGCACTCGGTTCCACTGTTGATGTCACTGATAAAGAGCACAGCCTGGATCCTTGGGGCATACAAAGGAAACACCACGCTACAAACTACCTGCCCACTAGCCCAAAGCAGGGCTCACTGCACTGCCCATGGGCTCCAGCTCTAGCTTGCACTGAAGTGAGTGAACTGCTTTCCTAAAGGACTGTGAAGAGCTATGAAAGCGTATTTTTCATTAGATAAACAAGGCAGAGATTCTGAAGCTTTAGCCTTAATCCTGTTATTATTGAAGTTAATGGCAGAAACTCCAAGAAACAGACCATGATCCATTCTGTCCATCAAGAGAATCAGCAGCAGTCAGCTTAATCACAGAACTGCAACAAATTATTAAACCTTTGGGGAAAAAGGCAGCAGCAATCTAACATTTATTTGATATTCCCATTAGCAGCTAATGGAAGGAGTTTTTCAGAACCTGCCCATACCACAGAAAGCTGCCACACAACTCCTCCCATATCGATGTGGCTTATCTGTCCAGCACAGACCTTTATACCCAGTTGTGCCATCATCAACATTTGGAAACAGATAACTTGTTTGGATCTATCCAATCTAGGAATCCATCTTTCTTTGCAGTTTAATCCTCACTCTGACTTCCAGCCACATCTGCCCTCTTAGCAATGAAGCTTTCCTGTACAGGGAGGTGACAGAGATGTCTCAGGACATCCATCCACACCACATCATGCTGTGCTGGAAAGGCTGAAGGGGATTTCAGACAAAATCTTCCCAAGCCAGCTACTTATTTAACAGTGCTCACAAACCACCTGTGCTCCCACTTCCAGTGAAGGCATATCTCGTAGTCACATCATGGTTTCTGAAGCAAAATCTTGCATGAAGGATGTTGGTCCCTTTTACAGAGTATAATGCTGAAGAATCAGCACTCCATCCCTGGGGTTGAATTTTCTGCCACTGTACCGCTAGTTGGATTCTCATGAGCAGATTCCCAATCACCCTCATGAAACAATTTTCCAGAAGTTATTTTCACCATTATCCGTTATCAACTGAAATCTTCCAAAGCAGCCATTTGGGCTTTATCAACCCTAAGGTTAACCACAATTTAGGTGAAAGACTGATTACTTCCAGGAAAAGCAAAGCAAGTTTTGCTCCCACAATCCAGGGCTATGGACAAACCGTGAAAGCTGATGTGTGAGGAAAGTAAAAACAGGCTGGATTTCTCTAACATCCTGCAGGGCTGGCAGTAGTAAAAACTTATCTCTGACCTGAGCAGTGACACCATACCAGAGCTGCCATGGGAGTAACAGTGAAACCAAAATACTGCATCTTGTCATAAAGCAAAGAACTCACTTCACAGAAGGAATACTTTCAAAAGTTGCTGAGAAAAATATAGCCAGAAAGGTGGCAGGAAAGGGATCTTTCTGATCTCTGAATTATTTGAGTACATCAATAAAAAAGCTGCTAACGCCAACTTGCACTTTTTGGATGACCAGAAAGTCTTTGAGAAATTGTAGCTGCAGAAAGCAACTGATGAAAAAGAAGAAATGGGCTGCCAGACAGGGTTTGGTACTGCACACACAACATCTATATAGAAAGAAGAGCACGGAATGGAGTATGCGGTCAGCAACTCTTACGGCACAGTTTAACAGCAACATGTCTGCAGGCTCAGAGCAGGTGTGGTACTCACATGACACAGCCCTCCTGTAGGCACTACAGGGATGGAGAAGCTGCCTCAGCACAGCTGGGCGGCAGGCTGCTTCCCAGCATGGCTGGCAGCCAGCCGAGCCATGCAACACAATCCTGCTCCCAAGGGGGCCAGAAGAGTTGTTTTGAAGACACCATGAAGGGCAGTCTGAAAACAAGAAACGCTTCTACAGCACTCTAGGCGCAGGCACAGTGAGGCAGAGCCAAGTGAGGAGTAATAACAAAATGAGGCCACACAGTCAAGAAAGCCACGTCTTTTGCAGTGGTAGAAAGAAGCGTGAGTAGCTGAAACCCAGAGAGACTTCACCAAAAGCAACTAGCCTGAACCTCCCAGGAGAGCCAGGAGCCACACTTTGCCCTTGTCTTGTGGGTCCCATCCATCACTGCATTGAAACCAAGTCCCAGCCACATGGCAGTGTGTGGAGACTTTTTTCCCAGCCTGTAGTTGCATCCTTCCAGCTTTGTACAGGCCTCTTTGCACAGAAGAGGCTGCCGCGGCCTTGCTTTGGGCATCCTTCAAGGTAGAAGCATGTGTGATGCAGTACAGCAATACGGGCACATGACTTCATGAGTGCTGAGAGTCCACGCTCTGCACAGCCTTCTCCACTGGGAGCCATCCACGACGCTGCTGGTGATGACAGTGGCTGGCTGTCCCTCCCAGTGCTGCTGAGCTCCTCATTCTATCATCTCAGGCTCCAGATAAGCTCACCAGAGAGGCTGTGTTGTGCAGCTCTGCAGAGCGCAGAATCCTTCCAAGTGCCCTAGAATCAGTGTAGCGACTGTGCCACCTTGTGCCAGGAATATTTACAGATGTGCTTTAATCTGTCTCCTAGATTTTACAAACACACAGCTCTTGCTCTGACTTTTCTCTACTGAGGCCAACCAGGGCTCCATGCCTCCTTCTCTTCATGGTCCAGCACTTCCTTCTGACAGGCAGAGTCCAGCTGAGGCTGCACCTTCACCTCAGGTGGAAGTGGCTGCCTTGTGCAGGCTGTGTGGTGAACAAGTAATCCGACAGATCTCTCTGCCTGTGACAGATCTGGCAATCCCACTGACTATCACTGATGCTAGTGTAAATGAGACGTGCGCAGTACAGCAAACTAGCATCACTGTCCTTCTAACAATGAGGATGGTAGCCTAGGCAGGAAACAGAAACACAGGATTTAACAAAAGCCAGCCCTACCCTAGCTAGAATCTGTATCTCACTGCTTTAGAAAAGGATCCAGGGTTCACAGAGGGCAAACAACTGAGCAGGAGCTTCACTGAGATGCTCCTGCATGTGCAGGAGGGAGTCAGAAGCAGTGCTTTCCCTCATATGCCCAGTGACACAGAGGCATGAGCCCCATAGACAGAAAGGGGCATGTGTGGAGAGAAGACCCTGGAGATCTTCTAGAGTGCAAGAAAACATTTTTGCAGTCTTAGATTCAAAGACTGAGTCTCCTTCCAAGAAGAAATTTAACTGTAATATAGATATAGTGAGCACCTACCCAGAAGATGCAGAACACTACATAGTTCTTAAATCTGATGGAGAAAAGCAGGAAAATAACTAGTGGCTACAAGCTGAAGCCAGGCAACTTCTAGGCAGAAGCCATGCCCACATCTTTACAGTGGAGGGGAGTGAACATACCTCCATACCATATGGTGAACATACCATGGGATATGGCAGGCTTATCACTGCTTCTTATTAAGAGTGAATGCTCACTAAAGCTGGAGTTTGGTGAAACCTAAAGGGCTGAACTCAGCATGCAGAAAAACCTCAAGTCGGTCACCACCCAGGGGAGGCATGGGATGGTCTAATGGCACTAAACTACTAATGGTTTGGGGGTTTACATTTTACAAATCCACAGACACTATGTGCCATTGTCATGCTAATGCAAGCTGTGTCTATCCTAATGTCCTGGAGAACCATGCAGGAGAGCTCAGACTGACTAGGGGATAGTTCCTGTACTTATGAGATAAGAAAGATGGAAATGTTTCAACAAGGGAAAGCTGTGTGATGCACTGGAAATTGCCAGATGTTTCTATCACCAGCAGCAGTACAAGGGATCAGAAATAAGCCCACAGGCATGCACATCTGGTTTTATTTCATTTCAGACTCCAAAAGGTGAGTTAGGATTCCTTTACAAAAGCATGTAAAGTGCTTCTCTATTTAAAGATCGGCTCTCCCAGGCCACCCCTAAGCTGGTGACGCCAATGGCAAGACTTGCTCAATGAGAAAGAAGTCAAACACATATACAAGGACAAAGATACATGCAGGCAAGGCGTGACAGAAACTCCGAGTTTATACCAACTACAATCCTGATCTGCTAGGAGATCCCAGGTCTCACTGTACCAATGCTCACATTGGACATTAACAGAGCTCTACACTCTGTGCATAACAGGCTGGGGTTGTCTGAGACACAGTAAGGTGCTTTTCAGATGAAAGACACGGAGAACCATTTTGCAAAATAAACACAGAACAGGATACCTCATACCTTCCCTCTTCTGTGGGCTTTTCACCACGTCTCATAGGGACCCAAGAGCACCAAGGCAATGCCACTGGCAGGCAACAACAGAGGAAAGGACAGGGGGGTGTACGGGACGAGCCGAAGAGGCAGCCATGCACTATGCCCGTCCCTTGTCTCTCACATTCCCCAAGGTCCTGGCAAAGGAGCAGGAGAGGGGAGAACAGCAGAGGTGTGCTCAGAACGAAAACAGACCAAGACAAAGAAATCCCGTCAAAATAGTACAGTCTCTGAGGCTCAAGCATTGCACAAAAGGAGGATCAGAAGTAAGCTGGGCGCTAAAAGGAGAGGTGACGCCGGGACAGTGTGAGAGCGAGGATACGGAAGGGCAGAGAGTCAAAGTCCATCCATCCACATGAGGAGGAGAAAAGGAAGGGGGGGGAAGGAGGAGAGAGAGAGGATTATATTTTCTGGGTTTGGGGTTTGGAGACTTGATTCTATTTGTTTTGAGTTTTTTTTCATAAAGGATCTCACACCTGATATTCCTCGTTCCATCCATTTCGGCTCACCAAGGGCAATGAAGAAATTCTCCTGCCTTTCGTATTCCTCCTCATCTACTATCTTAACCCTTACGGTCTTCCTGTAGGGACAACAAGAGAGACAACCGTGTACAGTGGGTTGGTAGGCCGCAGGTGACGCGGCGACGGCAGCAGCGCAGGCTCCTGGCGTGCGGCCCCTTCCCGCAGGGCAGCGCGCCTTGGCCGGCCTCTTGGACATGGCGCATCGGTTGCAGCTCCTTGGGGAGCAGGAGGGTGTTAGGGGGAGACAGGGCTGGCGGGGAGGTGAGGAGGGAGGGGAAAGGTGGGGTCGGACCTTGCTGATGGTTAGTGGGAGGCGACTTCTGCAGCACATTTTTCGGTGTCACATGGTAATTGGAAAGGGTATCAGCTGCCTGGTTATCAACAGGAGTTAATATCTGGGGTACCAGTTGCATTTTAGCTGGAAGATTGATTGTTTCTGCTACTTTCACAATTAACAAAGGGACTGTTGGCTCAGAGCTTGAGAAAAAAGAGCCGCATACTCACAGCCATGTTCCTCTGTGGGGTTACAGCACTGCTAGCTGCAGCAGGCTAGCGTTCCTAATCCACAGTTTCAAAGCAGCACATCTCATTGCTTCTCCTCCCTAATGCTGCCTGCCTCCTCCCCCAGCTTCTTCTGTGACTAAGGGACACAGCTCTTGGAGCACAGCTGGGTGATGAGCTCCAGATATGCTCCATGTTTCTAGTCAGCATCTTCCCCCAGCACTACAGAATTTGCCTTGGCCCTTCTCATCAGTGGAAACATTCACTGAAAAATATACTCACTGAGGACCATTCTTCTTTCTTTCTCTCCTACGATGTCTGCCCCAGGCTCCCCTACCGCCCCCATTTCCCCCATTCCCCCCACTCCATGGATACCATGTGACACAGTGCGTGCACAGCAGTGTTTAGGACAGAGCAGTTGGAAACAAAGAGAAGTCAGAGGAAGAGGAGGAAAAGTGGAGGAAGGAGAAGAGAGAAGAAGAAAGAAGAACGTTAACGTTAGTCTGGAGGGCCAGTACTACACCTTTCTGTAAACTCATATCCACCATGCGGGGGCTCATCAGCTCAAGGAAGAAACTCTTGTTTTTTTCATACTCCTCATCATCAATTACTTTGATGTGAATTGTTTTGCTGTGGATGGAAAAATAATAGTAAGCATCATAAAGGGAAGAAGGGAACAGAGGAGCAAAGTGAAGTAAGGTTGGGAGCTGAACAGAAACATTAGAGAGTCAAAGTTTTCTCACCCACTAGAATGAGTTCAATGTGGCTCTGGAGAGGGCTAAAGCCCACTGCTGCCAGCAACACTGACCAATTTCTGTTTAACAAGCAGGCCCAAGGGCAGGGCATGCTGTGCAGAATGAAGAGAGACCCAAACAGCTCTGACTCAGGAGCCAGGGCTGGGCTGCACCATGCAGGAGAGGAGCACACTTCACCCACACCACTGCTGCTGCACACACACACACAAACACACACACACACCAAAGCACGCGCACACCACTAGCTTGGCTCCTGCTGCCTTTCATGCATAACTGGTCTTGGCTGTGGATGGCAAGGATAAGAACAGCAGTACTGGCAACTGAAGAACCTGGAGAAATAGCCCCAGGCTTCAAATGACAGCATGCCTCAGTTCCCCCAAGCTGAGCTGCTGCTTCTGCTCACGTGCTCACAGATAAGACAGAAAGTACCATTCTCTGTGCCTGATTACAAAAAGGACCACGGCCCTACAGCCTTGCTCCCTTAAGCAGAGATATTAAACACAAGTGGCGTCTTTGGTCCCATAGTGCTTCAGAGACTAAGCAATCCACTCCTGAATCCTGGGGATGCTGCAACCCACACTTCTGCCAGCATCCCCCTGAAAATCACCATTTCACAGTGGAAAATGGGCAGGTTGATTGCCTTCCATTGCTGCAGCTTGCATTCCTACTGCTAACACTAACAACCACAAAGCTATCCAGTCTCTCTCCAGCTTGACTCATCTACATCGCAACAGCTTCTGTGCTCTGATGGGAACTTTCACTCCCTGTGCTTGGCTCTTGCTTTGAGATGTCTTTCGGATGATGGCATATTGGATAGAGGGAAGAGTTCGAACAACCCCTGCTATATCCATCAGTATATGAATATGCAAAAAAAAAAAACAAAAACCTTCACCTTTAATTCTTCTAAGCTAAGTCAGCTTTATTTTTGCTAGTGCTTGCTCTACCAATATGCTGCACTAATGCCAGCAAGCCTATTTTCCCTTCTCTAGACCCCTTCAAACTCCTCTAATCCAGCCCGAAGTACGTAGGATTTTAAATGAGAGGTCTGTTGTTAATATCGGTGCTTTGCTAAGACTTCATCACAATGATTTCATTGTGTTTTCTTTGGAGAGGTTGATGGAATTATTGCCTTTGAACCAGATGTTGTCTGGGCCCCTGGTACTTTGCAAAGCTTTTTCAATTTGCTGAATTAAATACACATCTGATTCATAGCTCTGATCTCTTTCTTGCTCTCATGCTACAAAACAGAAGGTGGGATTTTCAAAAGCAGCCAGCGCTTCCTGAATAAGGGTTGCTTCTTAAAATCCCATTCATAATTATTATTGCTTACTGCTTTCCACTCCAAGAGCCCCATATTACTCAGTAACTGCAACAAAACTTATCTCCAGAATTAAAGTCACTCTAAAGCTTTACATAATTATGCTTATTAAGCACATACACAATTTGGGTTTCACACAGTAACTTTCTTTTACCTTTTTTTTTTTTTTTTTTTAATGAGGTGACTGTCCCGTTTCATCAGTAGTACATGCACATAGCAGAGCAGAGGAGAAATGCTTATTTAATGAGAAAGTGCGCATGGCAGATATCTCTACGGTTGTGCAGTGTGTGGAAATCCTGACTTCCCACAATCTACCTGCCTGCACAATACACACACAAAGCTGTGGACTTAAGGAATAATGACTCATTGTGTGCCCATTTTGTTAACCAGAGCTCTATATGGTATGCTAAGAAGTCCTTATCACATCACTTATGTGATGCAAATTCCTTAAGTGAATTCCTTATAGCGATCTTTTAAAATGTTTTTTGTTTATTTGTTTTTTATTAAAATCCAAGAATGAAATAAAACACAGTGAGGACCATAGAAAGGATGCATGCTAAAATGCTGACTCTGCAAAAAGAAGTCTCCTGGGGTTGAGACATTGCACGCTTTCCTCTGTCAGCCATGCAACGTCTCCCTACAAGAATTCCACTTGTCATATGGCTGTCTCCTTGAGCTTCCTTGCTTTGCAGAGACACAGAAAGCTAGGACCACACACAATTACTCAAAAATAAAATCAAGTAGAGGGCCACTACCTCTAACTCACCCTCTTCTTTTTTTTTCCCCTCCTTCCTCTGGGTTCATACATACTGATGCCTGCTTGCTACCAATTCCCAGTCAGTACCTGCTGCCCTCTTTCCAGCCTGCCTTGCCCTAGCTCTCCATCCCACAGGAGCAAAAGAACAGCAACTCACGTTCAGTCTGACTGCACAAACAGCTTTACCTCCCTTGCATGCCACAGGCATAATTAACTCAGGACATAAGCACTGTATCTTTCAAAGTCCAGTCCTCTCCCAGTCCCTTTTCCACCTGCAAGGCAGTAAAGTACAACCATGATCCAAAGTAAGGGCTGTTCAAAGGAGAAAATCTGTACAAGAAAAAAATCTCATTTGTGACAGCATCCCCTGCCTGATGATGGTTGGTTCTCATGGAAATTACTGAGGTTTGAGCAATGATAGCATCGCTCAGACTTGGTTGAAAGTGAGCTTGTCACAAGGGAAAGTTCAGGAAGGAAAAGAAATAAGAAAAAAACCCAAACAACCTATACCTTTGCTAGAACACCTTAGCTGTACTAGGGAAGGCCAAAGGAAACAAGAAAAACATTCAGATTTTCTCTTCTGTGTGAAGAGAAACAGATGCTCAAGCTTTGTCCTGTCCAACTCAAAGGCAGAAACTCCTCAATATCTAGTAAGACCTCTATATAAGCACTAATCATCTGAACTCCTACATCAGCTCAGAGGCAAACTGGATCATCTCTGCACTCATGGTTTTTCAAAAAATGGTGTTGATTTGGCAACCAATTCAAGGGCCATCAGCTTGTCTGTCCGAGAGCTGGGGACATACCATGTATTCTAGCTTGGTGGTGGAACACTTGTATGCTCCCTGTCCACAAGCTCCATCTGGCCACAGTTACCTCCCTCAGCTTCATCTCACTCATTTCCCTAAAATGAAGGTGAAGGAGCCAAACACGAGCACAGGGAAAACACTGCAGCCCTCAGCCAACCTGAGGCCCACAGGAGAAGGTGCCCCAGGGTAGCAGTACACCTGACCTGCACAGCAAGACTATGGCACTGAAAACTCCAGGACCCAGCACAGGAGCCCAGGGGTGTGGGTGCGTGCTAGGGACACTTCTGTGGCTTGGAACCCTGATACCACATGTGGGTGGATGGTACAGACACTGCCTGCTCCTGAGCCAGGTTGTTTCCAGTGCAGCCTGCAAGGTGCTGGGCCACGCTTGCTTCCTTGTGGAGAAGTGCTCTTTTCTCAGCAGATCACTGGGCCAGTGACTCTCACTGCAGAAACGTCACCACTGATGGAGGGCAGTTAAGGATTCCCAAGCTCTGTGACAACTCTGGCTACTGAGAGTATTCCAATTCCTCTCCCTGATGAGATCTGCACCATATTTCACTCAGCTTTGCAACTTTTGCACCTCACTCTGATGGCTCTGCAATGGGAAAGGAGGATATTTGCTATCTTTCCCCTTTCTGACAACTGCATCATGGCCCAGGCACACCTCAAACAGCTCTAAAGCAGATAACAACAGAACAACATCCAAAAGCCTGTCCTAGCAGTCAACCACCTTCATTAAATGCCTCCAGGAACTAGCAGCAAGAAATCATTCTGCAAAGCCTAAAGCTCCAGTACCAGCACCAAGCCACAGCATAGCTCAATCCCAGCCCCTAGATGGCTAGATATGTGAAAGCACTCTCACTCAGCCCTCTGTGATGCTTTCAGAGGACTGAGCAATTCTTTTAGTTTGGACAAGCATAGGTAGCATCCTCCTGCATGCCTGCCTATGGGTCAGACAGGGCCTGGCAGGTACCATCTCCAAGAGCACTGAACCATGCTCTCCAGCCACCAAGAGCCCTCATGGTGCCAGTCCGGGCTCTCCTCTAAACATGCATCTAAAAACAATCACCGTTTTCAAAAGTTAGAGATGGGAAAGCTCCCCTCCTGGGGAGCAACATTAAGAACAAGATTTCCCTGAGTAAGCAACAGAAGATGAAATGAATAGACATCGATCTTCTCCTAAAGGACTTTGAGCGCATGATGTTGCTAAATTCCCCGTCTGGGAAGTACAGAGGATAATCTATAAAATCATTTTATTTGACAACACGTCCACTTCTAACACATAAGGCAACAACTGGATGGTTATTTGATTAATGTGCTAGAAAATATTGAGTATCTCTCTGTGTGGAGACTCTCATTTGCAGGAATTATTGCAGAGGAGGTTAAGAGGATGTGTCTGCATGACTTTGGAATGTGAAATAAGGCTCAGCTCTAAAAACAGTGTAAGTCAGGAAATGTCACATACAGTATACCATTGAAACAGGCAGGGTTGTGCAAGGGCAGAATTTACAGTCCCCGGTGGGATGCTGTTAGCCAGGATGGAAAGCAGCCAGGACAGCAAGGTAAACGTCCCTAGGACAGTGAGAAGAACCAGGAAATCTTTAGTAACTCATTAATGGGAATCATTGGAGCACACATTTTGGATCAAGCCGTGACATCCTGAATGCACCATGATACACCCAGACTCTCACCTGATTTGCTGTGGGCGCAGGTAGCAGCATGAGTTTCAAAGTTTTAGCACTACTGTCTGACTTGCCCAGATCTCAGCACCTGCTGGCCCCAGGATGGCTTTTCAACCCTACGGGTAGGACCTATTCTCTCTGCCAGAAGATCTCATTGAGAAGTTCTGTGGCAGAAATGCTGACTAAGTAAGATGTCAGAATGTGAGGCAAACAAGAGAGGATTAAATAAGGCTAGGTATAGTGGGGAGCTGTCTTTGCCCAGCTCATTGGGAGGCACATATTTAACAGAGCATTGTGACACGGTGC